ATAGTAATAATATTACTGAAGACCAACTACATGTATTTACGTATAACTCAAATTTAGTAGATATACAAATGTGTAAAGATAGATTTATAAAAGTTCTAATAAATCAATTTAATAAGGTAGCTAAAAAGAAAATAAAAACGGACAAACTCAAAGACGAAATTCATAGGTTAAGCGAACTAAAGTGATCTGAGGATGAAGAAAGTAATGATATAAATAAATTATCATTTTGTGATGTTATCATTAGACACATTCTCAATTCATTATACAGTACTATTTCGTCACAGATATAAAATAAAAGAGAGGTGTTTAAAATTTTTGAAGAGACAATGATAATTTTCAAAGAGTATATAAGAACAAATATTTGAAATTATTGTTGTGGAATTGTGAAAAAATGGGTATTAGAGAATGGTATTAAGAATATAAATAAAAGAAAGGTATTAAGTCTATATAAGGAAGTAGTTATTGGTAATAACAATGATGGTGATATTAATAGAGATAGTAATGATAATATTAGTAATAATAACAATAATAATAATAATAAAAATAATAATAACAGAGATAAACTTAGACAACTAAAAAATATTTGTTATAGTATAGTTAGTAAATATATTTTATCATTAGTGAAATATAATAAATATTGATCAAGTATATATAATATAGGCTATTTGGTAAGGCCTTAACAAGTTGATAATAGCTGTTATTATTAGGTGATAAGTTGCAGGTATGTTTTGTGTCTATTCTAGGATAGACAATTTGAATTAATCTAAGTCTTATCTTTTGATAGTTACTAGAATAAGTTGTGTATCTTATATTATGTGATAATAATGTAAGAGACTTTCTTTTTTTTTAGTTAATAAATTTGAGACAAAGCCTCGCTGAAACTTTAAAAAAAAAAAAAAAATTCAACAATATTAAAAATTTTAAAATTTATTTTTTACCATCTGATATAATCACCTTTGACTTTAATTACATTATTTATATAAGTTGATATAGTATCTACTAACTTCTTATATGTATCAACTTCCAATTCAACTTAAACTTTCTGAATTGTATTTCAAAATCAATCTTGTATTCTAATAGGTATTTCAAGTTATTTTATAGGTGTTTCAAGTTATCTTATAAGTATTTCAAGTTATCTTATAGGTATTTCAAGTTATCTTATATGTTTATCAATTTCATTCTACAGATATTCTATAAGGTTTAAATCTGATGATAGTACAAGTTAATTAAGTACCCTAATATTATTATTTTTAAACTATTTTTTTGTGAAATGGATAGTATGTTTAGGATTATTATTCTGCTAAAAAGTGATATCATCTTTATTTATTCTATACTATTTAATAGTTCCCAATAAATCTTCCTCTAAAATTTGTTAATATAAATTACCATCTATATGTCCATAAATTTGAACTATGTTATCAACTTCATCAAAAGTGAAACATTCTCATATCATAATATTGCGCTATTCAAATTTGATTGTAGGTTTGATAAGATGATCACATAATAGTTCTTCAGATCATTTCCAATAATATTCTTTACTATCTAATCCATAAATCATAAATCTTGATTTATCAGATCAGATTATCTTCCATGATTCATTTTTGATTTTTTTTTAAACTTTATATAGGCAATTCTATATGTTTTTTATATATATAATTTTTTGCATTTCACTCATATATTCAATTCATTTTGATATAAAATTCTTTTTATTGTACATTCGCTAATATCAATTTGATCAATAGTTTTAATTTTTTTGGATTGCAACTGTATTTGTACACTTGCCTGTTGTTATTAGTCACATAACATTTTGTTCAATATGACCAGTTATAAGTCTTGGATATTCAGATTTTTGTTGATTATTAAATGTGCCAGTTTTGTCTTTGCGTTGTTTGATTCTTATAATCGTTAATTGTGAAATATTTTTTTTATTTGCCATATAATAGAAAGGATATACTTTTTCAAATAGAATAAACTTGGGTTCTTTTTTCTTTAGACAAATATACTATAGATAGTTTAAAAAAAAATTTATGGCAGAGCATATCATAAGGTATCTTTTTTATATATACTTCATGGTGTGTTTAGAAGGAGAAAAATTTAATGTTTATTGTTTATGTTTATTTTTCAAAATGATCAAAAGAAATGCATCACAGGTTTTGAAAAATATTTTATTTTTGAATGAATTTTCAAAAAGAGATGATGCAGGTGACAAATATAAGGTTTGATGAATCCATTAAATAAGTATTGTAGTATTGTGTTTTCTAAATTACAAGATATTAAAATTTGAAAATCTTTGTCCAGGTGATGCAATACTTTTGATCGCCACTGTATATTATTAAAAGTAAAAAGCTTTTTAATTATATTTATATAATTGCATCAAATAATTGTATAACTCAAATTCCAATTTTTCATAATTTTAATTGTCTAATGACATGCATAATCAAGTGTCATTGGTGAAATTAAGTAGTTTCACCTGCCAGACAACCTTAGTATCAAGTATATGTAAAGATGAAGCAACAGCAATTATTAGATCAGCATGAGAAGAAGCTATAAATATGATAATTAGCTTCTTTTTTTTTTTTAGCAATCCTGAGAATTATTTAAAATGATGATAATAATAACAAAAACAAGTTTTAATTAAAATGACCAATTTCATTTGATCAGTGTAATTTGGTTTTATTTAATTAAAAAGATATATTTAATTTATTTAAATTACTGAAATAAAAAGAACCCATTTTTTTCATGGATTGCAAAAATCTTCATCCATATAAAATTTCTTCTTTTTTATTTAAAGATTCTTCTTATATAATAAATCAAATAATTAATTAGAACAATATTATTCAATTAATATTCTGATCCCAAAATAACAAATAAATTTATGTTAAAAAAATATTTATATTAAATAATAATTAAGGTCATCAGATAAAATTAATCTGGAGATGATCACCTTTTTTTTTTTTAAAAAAAAACACAGATCGAGTTATAATGTTAAAGAAATAAAAAAAAATATTGTAATTTGATATTTGAAATAACTAACTGTAGGAAATTATAAGAGGAAATTATAAAATGAAATTTGCAAGAATGACACAATGCTGTCAAACCCATGCAAATATAATTGAACATAAAAAATAAAATAGAATATAATGAATATTGATCAGGGAGTATCAGCTGCTCAGTAATGTTTGACATTAATGTGAAACTTCATAATAAATTTTGTCCAACGTGGTTTTTTGATGCATGGAATAGCTGCGCCAAATAGCATACATAAATTTGCATTAAATTCACATTTTCAATAGTTACAATCGTGCATTCTGTACATAGCAGTATATGTAATGATAAATGATAAATGAGAAAAATTGGCGCGTGTATGCTAATTGAGTTAGACAGATACAGATGAGTGTGAGAAATTCCCTACAAGCATTGTATGAAAGAGTTTGTGCATAGAGGCACAAAAATTAATTTGCCATATGATAAAAATGCTATACACTTTAATACACCTTAATGACCTTAATGGAATTTAAAGTATACTTCATTCTAAATATACTTTTAATGAAAGTTTATTCAAAAAAAACATATGCATTACGTAATTTGACGGTTTTGATTGATAACAACCGATTGTGATTAGCAAGAGATTAACAACTAGCATTACATTGGAGTCTTCTGTTATTGGAAGAAATCAAATAAATGCCATTTGCTATATATTATGTATAAATTCTGTATACATTCTGCAGTTGCATGATCTCTGACAGCAATTTAAATAATTCAAGAACAATTAATAATATGTCAATAAACTAAATATATAATTATTAAAGCGAATTAGGTAGGTTGGCTTTTAATACTGTACAATGAACTCATTCATTTTTATCTAAGAAACCTTAACACTATAAAATAGAAATTATAATATGATTTAAAATATGTATTAAATTAGTAAGTTAATCAAAACGCCAAGCTCGAAATAATTTGAAGGAAACAACAATAAATCTTTTGTTGGATTGAAAATATTGTATTTTGTTATTTCAGAAAATTTTTTTGACGTTATAAAATATGTCAAAAAGAAGTAACGAACTTCGTTAAGAAAATAATTTAGGAATGATAAAGTTTCAATGAGTGAAGACAAAAATTGATAAGTAAAGATATCTTTGAATGATTTCTCTTATTCTAGTTAGATATATATTCTATATTTATTTATTTTGGGACAGAATATTCAAGTTGCATTTTTTAAAAGAAATTATTGATTTGGCTAAAAAGGTAAAAGAAAAAATAAGTTCATGAATTCCCAATCCATTATATTTTACAAAATTGCACATAAATACAGAATAGTAAAAGTATAGTTATATAATATAATATAATATTATATAATATGATAAATATAATATAGTATAATATAGTATAATATAGTATAATATAATATAGTATAATATAGTATAATATAGTATAATATAAAAGTACAATATAATGTAATATAATATAATATAATAAGTATAATATAATATATTATATTATATTGTAATAAATTAAGAAAGACAATGCAAATGTAATGCTCGACATTTCACTTTCTTTTGCAAATTGACATTTTCAACAATGACAACATTATAGTGATACAAACATTATATATATTTTTTTTTGATATTTTTTACATACTTTAATTTTACTTTACATTCTTAATTTCTTTATTGCATAGAATATCTTATTAAACATTTTATATAATATTATAATATTATAATATTATAATATTATAGTTATTTATACACTTTATCTTATTGTATCTTATTATTATTCTTCTTGTTATTATCTATTGTATCTTAATTATTATTCTTCTTGTTATTATTATATCGTATTTATCTTATTTTTTTTTTTTACTATTTATATTATTTATAATATTCTTATCATAAAGCTATTGTTATAATTATAATAATTTTAGGGTTACGATAATTATAATAATAATAATCTATTTTTAATCAAATTAATTAAATTGATGATGATTATATATTTTTTTAAGGATCTTAATAATATTTGCGTCTGCGACAATTAATCTTATCTGCCCAAGATTTTAATTCATCCCCTACATTCGCTGGTGAACAATTTCTAATTCCAGCTCGTTTTAAATTTTTGTGATTTATTAAATGTGTGATCATATGAGAATTTAAATTGTAGCAATCCACCAGATCCAATTTTTCTAATTTGGAGCAAGATTTGATGACGTTAAACCTGTCGTAATCTTTAAAATCGAGTGCTCGGAATATAATTTTTCGTAAACTTTTTTTTTGTCTTATTAAAGATGGAATTATAATATTTATGAATTTTGTTCTTGAAATAAACACGGATTTTAGAGAGCGTTGGTTTTCGATTAATAAAGCTAATTTTTTGGCGGCATTGTAACTTTTATCATTTTCAATACTTAAGTTCATAATTTTTAGTGAGATCTGTTTGATTAAAAAAATAAAATAAAACCAGAATTAATTATTTTTATCATTATTAATTTTACAACAAAAATTTGTCACGTGAATTTAATAATTACGTACTATATTTCTACAATGTTTTGCCAGATTATTCATGAGTCTCTCTTTGGGAAAAGAACAACTTATTTGGAGTTCTCTTATAGGATCAAGTATTGGCAGAATTTGAGGCTCTGTTAAGAGATAATAAAGATCATCATCACTTCGAATTATGAGGGTGTTCAAATGAACACGTCTCTTTACTAATAGTTTTAATACTGATCTAAGAATTGCCGTAACACTCTCTTCATTAGAACCTTCTAAATAAAATCTGCACCAATTTTTTATCAATGTAATAAGTTGAAAATAATCTAGATTTTTGATAAAACATGAGTAATTGAAGAGTGGTAAATTGTATTTTCCACTTGGCACAAAAACGCCATCATTATATAAATCTTGTCTTTCGGTTAGATTGAGGCAATTAATTAAAGTTTTTATTAATAAATTACCCCTACGTTTGTAACAGCGACTGAAGGGTGTCCTCCATAAAACAGGAATAGCGCTATTACACCATTGATTATTAACTAAAAGACATGTATATAAATTTCTAAAATCAGTTGGTGAATTAAGTATCTCGTCGCGGTCATCGAGATATTTAAAAATTTCCCCAAGAATATCAGGTGTTAACATCTAAAAGAAATTGAAGTTTTTTTATATTGATGTTTCCTTAAACAAATCTATATCTCTCTATATATTTTTTTTTTAATTTAAGATTCAGAACAAAAAATATAATCCGAGGAAAAAATAATAAATAGCTTAAGTTGTTTTATTGCATTTTTTAGGAAGATAGCTTCGAGAAATGTTTGTTAAAAAAAATGACAACTGAAATTTATTTATTAAATAACACGGAAGATGCACAAACTTCTATAACTGTATTCGCGGAATATTAATGAGATTTGAAAATAAATTTATTTAAATAAATTTATTTAAATATATATTTATATATAAACAGTATAAATTTACACCCTACATATTTTATAATATTTTTTAATATGATCATCAATACAGCTGCTATATACAACAATTTAAAAGTCAAATCGTTAAAGGTGTTAAAGGGAGGGACAAAGAATCTACAAGAAGAAATTGATCCCCCAGCCGAAGTTATTTCATGTTCTTTTTTTTATGCGGGGTAAAAGGAGGTCAGGTGGTCATTGTACATATTTCACCAGACTTAATGCAGAGTTAATAATAATTTTTTTGATTATGGCGTTTTTTTTTTAACAAATCACTATTCTTAAAATTATCAAAAATAAAAATAACCATGAATAAAAGTCCCCAAAATTGATGCTCATCGAAGCATCTCTCTTGTAAATGTATTGTCTTGATGAATAGAAAGAAATTTTCAATCCAAAAAAAGAAAAAAAAAAGAATTCTATTATCTGCATATTTCTTCAATAAACTGTCAAATTTTCTTGACAGATTAATAATATTGTGTGAATTTTACTCATGAATATGATGCAGAGAGGAAAAATAAATTTGATAAAAATTAATTGTTAAATATTTGACACCGTTTTTCCATAGGGAAATCCCTTTCTAACAACGAAAATTGCGGGGCATTAATAAAATCTTTTTATCACAAGTTATAATTGCATATGTGATGTCAAACATTTGGCTTATTTTGAATTAAATTATTTTCAATTAAATGTCAAAAAAAAAAGCTCCACAAACAACAAACAAGAACACTGCATCATCCAAATACATTTTCAATTGATATTGCGATACCTGGGTTTATTTATATGTTATGCATGAGGTAAAGATTTCACAATTATTCTCAATTCTCATTATCTATAACTTTTTAACTTCTCTTTTTAGAGCTATTGATTTAATTTTTTCAACGTATAATTAATCACTGACACGTAAAATTCCGTTTACAAAGAAATCCATTGTTTAATTCCGTACTTATCCGAATGTTTGTCTATAATATCTTTTGTCGAAATTATTGTAAAGACAATATCGGATGTCGAATATATTCTTTGTCATTTAAATCTTAGTTAGTTGAATTCTAATTTATCACGAGATAAATTCAATAAATCAATATATATTCGTGTAACATTTCAATAATGACTTTAGTTACACAAATTATCCATGAAAAAGAAAAGTCAAGGATTTCTCGAGGAAAAAATTATCCCCATTAAATCCGTTAACTTATGGTTCATACAAAATAAAAAATTTCGGATAAAAAAAAAATCAATTAACCTAATTTGAAAATTTCAACTGCAATATAAACTACGACACCATTTTCTGACAATGAAACTATGCATAGAGCGTTTTGGAAATGAATATTATTACTACTTAGAGGATTTTAGCTCTGGTCAATGTTCTTTGTTAATCCGATTTGGAAAAAAAGTTGATTCATGTTCCCCACTTTTTACAATATCGATAATATCGGGTAATGCGTTTAATATAAACAACGGGATAATATATGCGTCAAAAATTTTTTCAAACAACGATAAAGAATAAAAAAAGATATCCAAGATTCATTGTCTTGATGACTATATGTGTATGCTATTGAACTTAGGTACTACATATGCGGTTGAAAATTAATCAATCAAGTAATCCAACAAGTTAATGCTTCACTAAGCACATATATACAGTATATATTTATTTTTTAAAAAAAAATTCTCGCGGCAGAATTTTAATATAAAAATATAAATGAATGCTATTTGAAATTGAACAATGTTAAATTAATATAATATGATCGCTGTAATAGTTTAAATAGTTTATTAATGTATTAAATGTAATCAAATAACTAAAATAACTTTTAAGCATAAAGTACTATATACAATATTAAAAAAAGTTTGATTGTTGTATTATCTAATCAATTCAATATCAGCAATTAAAAGTTACAAGTGTCATTCTGTCATTCTGTCATTCTGTCATTCTGAAACATTTATTCCGAATCGAGAATTAATTTCCGAATCTGTTTGTTACGATTAGATCAAATACTTAATATTAAATTTATATTAAATTTTCCGCAAGATCATATAAAGAAATCTTGAATTGGTCAATATATAATTTACTATGTATAAAGAAAATTTAATGTTTAGTTTTTTCCGAATTTATAATTCTTTTTTTTCAAAAATTTTTTTTTTTTAATAAATATTTGGCTGCGTTGTGAATCATATTTCCAATAAAGATTAATTTAACAATGATAAACATTTCAATTGCTCTATTGCTCTGTCAACACGTATATTAATGGCGGTTTTCACAATTAAATGTAGGTCAAATGATCAATGAATATTTTCAGCCTCACACAGGCATATTCAACTTAAACAATTTTCGAATAAATTTTCGTCATTGAAATCACGAGTATCAAATGAGAAAAATTTTGTGTTTACGTTTGTACTAAACGAAAAAAATATGTCGCATCGATGCACTTTAAAAAAATTTGCATGCATGATAATAAGAAGTAATAAAGAGCAGGATTTGAATTTTTTTTTTTAATTTCAATTTCTTGACTTGTGAATCGAAAGTATTAATTCTGAAAAAAAAGTTAGTGGGCTCAAAATGCATTGTTTAGTATAAAGATAAAATCGTTTTAATAGATCTATGTGAAAATGCAATGTCTCTTATCGTGAGAAATCAAAAAAAAAAAAACTTTTTACAATAAAGTAGTAAAGAGCAAGTAGTACTTATTCATGCAGTTTATGAATTTGGCGCACCGATCAAGTGACTAACATCAATCATGTGATACTATCAAAAGCACCTAATCACATGGTATATCTTCTGGTCAATTAAAATAAGTTCTTGAAATGATTATACTATACTTCGGTAGGGTTGTTAAATGGAGCACTAGCACCAACCTGGGTTATGTATCACTCCATTATGGAATGGGTTAAGAATTCTGATTTTTATTATAACCTGGGTTACTATATAATTTTGCTCCGGGTTACTCCGGGTTGCTCCATGAAGTACCTGCATAAAATCGGAAATAATTTTCGATCATTCGCTACATATAAAACTTTTTATTTAATAAGTAACTGTCAAAAAATAGTACTAATTAATCTTAAAGACAAGAATTAATTGCGTATTATATTTAAATAATAGGCCTATATCACCAAAATCAAGAGAAAAACTAGCGGCTAAAGTTTGAACGGATGAAAAAATCTTAAAACGATTATTGTTTGCTCAATTTTGATGATATAGGTTCATCCTTTAAATATGATACATAATTCATTCTTATCTTTGAGGTTACTTAGTACTGTCTTTGAGATTCACTTATAATATAAAAAGTTTTATTTGTATCAGCGATCGACGATTTATATAATTATGTTATATTTTCATATAAAACTTTTTATATTATAAGTGAATCTCAAAAACGGTACTAAGTAACCTCAAATACAAGAATGAATTATGTATCATATTTAAAGAATAGACCTATATCATTAAAATTGAGTGAACAATTATCGTTTTAAGATTTTTTCGTTCATTCAAATTTAACCACTAATTTTTTCATCAATTTTAATGAAATAGGTATATCCTTTAAATATGATACGTAATTTATTCTTATATTTAAGATTATATACTTAGCACCACCTTTGACATTTACTTATTAAAATAAAACGTTTTATATGTAGCGACCATTGACAATTATATCAGGTATCACTAATTATAATTATTACTCCATGGAGCAATCCGGAGTAGCCCGTTGGAGTACCAACCCAATACATTTAACCTGGGTTAGGTTAGGTTGACCCTTGCTCCACTATAACATGAATTCCACCTAACCTATTATGTTTCAGTAGCTTTTCATTGTCCCAAAATTCAGGCGACTTTGCTTGATGGAACCTTAATATGTAAGCAATTATATAGATTATATACCAATTTGATTAGTTATAGTTAATCATCCACATGGTAAAAAAAAATTTGACATACAATAAATCCATAAAAATTTATTTTTTAATTCATTCAATTTTCTAGCAAGATTACTTGTGAATTAGTGATTAAATTGGATACATTAGAGTTTAGGAAAATTTTTTGAGAATTGAAAAATGCAAGTTTCAAAATGATAATTAAAAAACTATTTTCATATTTTTTTATATAAATTTTGAAATATAAATGAATGAAGAAATATTAGAAAATTATATTCCTTACTGGTAACCAAAGTTTTGATTAATATCACAAATAAATACATTATAATTAAATTATAATTATATATATATTTTAAAAAATAGTAATTCTATATAAGATAAATACAATAAAGGTGTAAAATTAAATATTATATTGTCATCCCTCCTCTTGCGATCAATACTGAATCCACTATTACTGCATCAACTCCAGCTCTTCTTTGTAATTGTACATTTGAAAAAGAATTATTCAACGGACCATAAGTGAATAACAATAGTCTGGAATCCTTGATTATCTTAACTAATCCTGGGGCTTCTATAATTGGTTCGACATTGGTAACAATCCCTAATAATCTTGCGAATTGAGCAAATCTAACAGCTTGTTGAATGGAATTGCACCGTGCATCGGCCAATCTTACAACTCCACAGTCAGTTAAGAAGAAGACTGGGAAACTCCGTTGTTTCCAAGAAAGCATCAAACAAATATCTGGGGAGAAAGATGAAAAAATAATGTCACGTTCCCCCGCATGGCAAAAAACGCAATTAAGAATTGAATCTATGAACATATTCAATTCTGTATAAAAAGTAGGTAAACCGAAGTCTTGTGCTTCGTCAACCATTGGATATTTTATTTCGATAATAAATCCAATAGAAAGGGGAAGTTTCTTTTACCCAAGTAAGAATGAAACATCATTAAATATAATTTGATTTAAAATAATAATATAAATAAACAAAATATATATGACTTACTTTAAAGGTCTCTTCTAGGGTTGTAAAAGGTGCTTGTATTGTCCCTTTCCATATCCCGTCTTTTGTTTGTTTATTTTCTGAGTTTGATCGTTTTATTTTCTGGAATTGTTCCAGAGTTATGGAATTAATTGGAATGTCATAGCCAGTCTCCGAACATGTCCAATCGTGATAAACAACTGCTACGTGATCTTTTGTAAGTTGAACATCTATTCCGAAATAATAAAATTAATATTTTGCAATAAGAAAATTTGAAAGTAATGAATGTATAATTACGTACCCATCTCCACATATTCAGCTCCGAGAGATGCAGCAGTGAGAAAACTCATCAAAGTATTCTCATTAAATGGAGATTCACCCATTCCCCGATGTCCAATGATTTTAGTGGTTAACGAAGTCCAAAAGGACTTAGGTTCATTCAAATTTTGATTTTGAAAGGGTTTAAAGGGTTTATAGGGTTTAACTATCAAAAATTCAAATACTATTCTTCCCAAAACAGTAACATCTGTTCCTATTATAGGAACTGATACGGAACTCGTAAGAGATGTATGATATAATTCCGAAGAAAGTAGGGCAGTTGCACGTCCTATTAATTTTTTTTTAATTCCAAATGTAGGAATTAAATCAAAAATCAATGTAATAAGATTATCCTCTCCTTCCTCGTCGGTTCTCATAGAATTGACATTTGATATATAAAAAATACATGGTTCTATTATTGAATTTTCTTTCAAAGGAAGATCAATAATAACTGGTTCTCCTGCATCTGCATTATTGACGCGAACTACTAATGAAGTTAATTGCATCGGGATATTTAGTTGAATGGGAATCACTGATTTTCGTGTATCATTAGTACCGAGCATGACTAATATTAATGATTGGTTTTCCTGAAGATATTTTTCTTTGTTAAAGCCTATAATTTTTAATTTTGAATCCAAAGGTTCTAGTTCATGTAGGGTTGGTTTTAATAAATCTTTAAAACCGTGACCCCGAAATATTGCATGCATAAATGGTGTAAATTCAAAAAAATCCAATAAATTCTTTTTTGCTCCAACCTGTAATAGAGTGTTGACTATTTTTTCGTGGCCTTTGACCACTATAAATAAATGTAAAAATATAATTTAAATATAATTAAAATAAAGTTAATGAATTTTCAAACAACAATCGAAAAAATCGGGTTAAATTTTACCGGCTCCAAATAATGGGGTCCAACCATAAATTTTGTCTTTAATTTCAGTATTGGCCTTCCACGGACTTGGATCGTTATCTAACCCAACCAATAACATCACACAATCCAAAAAACCATTTTTTGCAGAAATATGCAAGGAGGTTTCTCCCTCTTCATTCTGGACATTAGGATCGGCACCATGGGACAACAATAATTTTGCCATTTCATAATGCCCTAATTTACATGCCAAAATTAATGGTTGAATATGATCATTATGGAAATTTATTATAGAAGGGATAGCTGAAAACGAAATAGGGAATGTAAAACAAAAAATATTTTTTAAAGAAATTTAATTTTTTATTTTTTGAAAAAGAATATTGAAAAAGAAAATGAAAAAGAATGAAAGATTATTATTTACAGATCATATCAAAATTTTTTAATCGACGGACTATGAAATCTACAATTTTGGTGTGGCCATGCGATACTGCATATAATAATGGAGTATAACCATAACTATCCCACCAAAATGGATCATTAAATCCAGTCTGCACGGAAATAAGATCATTACTTATTAAATGTTCTAAAAGGGTATAGGTAACCCTTTCTAATCCGTTAGCTGCAGCATAATGTAAAGGATGACGACCAAAAACATCAGGGGTTGAAACTTTAGAAGTTTCCGAATGGTTCAGATTTTCAAGAATAAATTCAAGAACGGTGGAATCATCCACGTTGACAGAAGGAAAAATCTCTTCATAGATATTATGAAAATGAGATGGTAGAGATCCACCAAACTTATGTATTAATGTACGTTCATTGATATCATCAATCATAATATCTGCTCCTTTTTCCAAAAGGAATTTGATACATTTAAAGGCATGATAATCTGATGCTTTTAAAAGTAAAATCTAAAAATAATAAAATATAATAAAATATAATAAAATATAATAAAATATAATAAAATATAATAAAATATAATAAAATATAATAA